CTGACTGTGTGTGAGTCATGCAGTTTGTATACATTAACCCTCCCATAGACTGGTCACCTTTCAGAGGTGCATGCTGGGACATGCATCCTGATCAGGGTTTGGCGGGTTACTTTAAAATGTTATTATTAATAGTCACATGTAAAAACCTAGTAACCTAATCTGAGTATCACATAATGCAACCTGATCACATGCCGTTACTTTTTGCCATTAAACAAAGAAGAAACAACAATAAGAACTTTTACTTAATTATGTTAGACAGAAGAACAATTTAACCTTTGAAAAGAAGAAACTAAGATATTAAGGATTAAAAATGATCTTGTATAAATGGATAAACCTTTCATTACGCAAAAATATTATTATTTTTTGTTCTAATGTTGGTCCTTGGGACACAATAATCAATAAGTGAAAATCTGATAATGTGACCTAGAGATGTTGCTTTTCTACCAGTGACCCTCAACAGGTAGAGTTAGAGAACACACACACACACACACACACACACACACACACACACACACACACACACACACACACACACACACACACACACACACACACACACACACACACACACACACAAAGGGGAGTCTGTACCTGGGAGGATGTGGCGGAACCGTCGACGAGAGCGAGGTGTTCTGAGAACTACAGGAAGTCTAAAACAAGGGTCTAAAGAGAAACACACATGATGCCAGAAACTGCGACACAAGAGGGGTAAAACCCTGCTGTAAAACCACTAAACACATTCTTTAAAATATCTCAACTTACACAGTTAAAATGGAATAATACTTCATGACCGATTCTCAAAATGATCATAACATCCCACATTTATGCACATACTGTAGTGATGTTGAATTTGAAATGAAAGGAAGTGTCATGTGATTTACTTCAAATAAACAAACTGGACTAAACTAACCTCTTGTTGCGTTACAGGTCTGGAAACAGAAGAGAAAAGTGCAGCAGCGCCACCTTGTGGAAAGATGTGCTGGTACATGAAATGAAAGGATGAGATATTTTTTTGAACTTATGACATTGATGATGCCATGTAGAAAAGATAATGAACACATAGGATTGATCTACGAAAGGAAGAGTTGATCCAATGTGCTTTTAAGTGGGTGGTCCGTATACACTTATCCAAAGAGATTATTTTTGTGTTTGTACAATTATCTGGTTCTTTTGTGCCGCTAAGTTCCAAAAATAGGAAATCAAACTATTAAGGGACTCTCATAACATTAAAGTTGACCTTTTAAGTTTTGACACAATCCTCAGGGTAAAAGCCAGTAAAAATCTAACTTGCACAAGATACATAAGTACCTATCAATAAGAGGCCTTGAGCATTATCATAGCTGTATTGCAGGAGACAGAATTCGATGCATATATTTAAAAATACTGCTGATGTGAGTTTGCATCTTTTCTGTCCTTCTACTGTATTATCTTTAAGGTTGTAACATTTCTTTAGCATTATAAATTGACTTCATAGTGATCACAAATGATATACCATAGTAGCATTTCCATGGATTTTCCGCAAAAGCAATGGTTCCTAACTTAAGGAACTTCACTCTTCTTGTTATTGTTCTTCCTATTCTTTCAGGTCTTAGTGAGATGGAGGGAGATGAAATGGAGGCAGACAGGAGACAGATGGGGAGAGGTGCTGTGGCAGACGGTGAGGACATGAAGACTTGTACTAATGTTAATGAGAAACTTAAGTAAACCAATTAACACACAGGTGGCTGCGATGTGTTTCCTCGCTCTGCAGCCTCATCTATCAATCCCCCGAAATATTCCCTGCTGGAAGTTTTCCAATGAAGCCACTTGGGGAAAGTAAGCAGTGCAAATGGACACTGATTGAAGTCACTTTGGATAAATGGGTCAGCTGACTGAAACATAATGTGACACTGATCAATACAAACGATGATATGCTGCAGGATAGAGGTGCGCAGAGATCATTGTGATTACTGTAAGGCTCTCCATCCTCCCTGCAACTGCCATAAACAAACACAAATCAGCCTCTTGAGAAGTGGCCACTCAGGGTTTGAGCTGCATCTACAGGCTTCCTGGAAACCATACTAATTAAAAGAATGCATAATGGATGCATTAGTACATCATTATTATACACTTTTATGGGGGACATTCAGATTGTTTTTACATGCTGCTCTTATTTTTTGGCCACCAGCTGCCACATGATATGAAATAAGGTTATTGTTCAACCCCTAAAGTGATATATAACAAGTATATTTATTATATGGAAGACTATATTCATATTTGCAGTTAAAAACGTTTTTAGAACCTTAACTGAGAGGCATTTTCTCTGTAATTCAACTTTTTTACAAGCCTTTTTTTTGTAGCTTAATTCCTCGTTTGGTTGCTTTGATGCCGCTCAGCTTCTTCCAGCTTTAGTTGTCTTTTCATTACTTTAAATCATGTCTTCAAGTGAAAATCCACCGCACCATATGGACCATCTGCCCCCCCTCCCCCCTCCTACTGTAAAATCACGACTCCTGTTGATAAGAGGATAAGCTTCTGTCAGTGTGTGTGTGTGTGTGTGTGTGTGTGTGTGTGTGTGTGTGTGTGTGTGTGTGTGTGTGTGTGTGTGTGTGTGTGTGTGTGTGTGTGGGT